AACTCTCAAATTATAAAACGAATTAGAAAATATTAAATATTAATTGTTTGTTTTAACTGATTTATAATCTAATATTTAGTGTTTGTAGCTATAAAAAAATTAGAAAATATTTAATATTTCAAAAAAAAAAAAATAATCTCAAAATATCAAAATATAGGGTTTCAATGGCGACTCCGGGTAGGAATACTGTCAAAGTTTTCGTGTATATAGGAGGCCATATTGTTCATGAGGGATTGTCAGTGAATTATGATCAACCTCATCATACAGTCGTACGAGTGAAACGCGATATATCTTTCTCTGACTTTTTGGCGAAAATATACTCACGTTGCCGAATAGATAGAAATGAATTTGTGTTATCGGTGTCGGGCAAAATATCACGATGGTATCAAAATCAGTGGAGCGAGATAGTTTCTGAGATAACAAGTGATGATGATTTAGAAATCTATTTGCACCCGGATGAAGGAAACGATTCCATAGATGTTTATGTTGAGTCTCAGCCTTTATACAATCCTTTGATACCTTCACAATTCACTACATCAGAGCCTCTCTACTCCCCTTCGAGACCTTCACAATTCAGTACATCAGAACCTCTCTATTCCCCTTCGAGACCTTCACAATTCACTACATCAGAACCTCTCTACTCCCCTTCGAGACCTTCACAACATTTTGATTTGAATGATGCGTACAATTCATTTATGCAAACAAGTCCTGAGTTAGTTGCGGTTACACAAGGGTTTTCCAATATGGGCTTTGAAGCGGGGCCATCGAGGCATTCTTATCAAAATCTTGGGGTACATATTGGGGAATCAAGTGGCATGAGAAATGCTCATGAAAATTTTGATCTTCCGAATGAAACTCGTCATTGTGATAATAATGATGACGATGATCCTTTCGGAGATGCACATGGGCCAAATGTTCGAAGCGACTCTGAACCGTCCGACCATGGAGACGATGATGATAGTGGTGAAGAGAACAACGATGAGAATATCGAAGCCGTTGATGACGTTGTACAAACAATATCGCAGGCAGAAATTCCATCAACTTCTCATGTTCATGTCAGCAATCCATCATTTGCAGAACCTCCTACTCAGTTTTATGATCCACCTTCGTACTACTCCCTGTCATTTCCTGAAATCCCAGCCGATTCCATTGATGTTCCGTCGGGTATGTGGTCAAAATTTTATGATAGCAGCAAAGGTACTCTCGAAAAGGGGATGATTTTCGATAGTAAAGCAAGGGTCATTTCAGCCGTTAGAGACCACTCCATTCGATTTGCCAGAAGAGAGTTTAAAGTTATCGAAAGTACAAAAAGAACTTGGAAGGTTATCTGCAAACACGACACTGAAGCACGACCTTGCAGATGGAGGCTAAGAGCATCAAGAATTGGGGATAGAGGACAATTTAGGATTGGGATCTACGATGGCGATCATAGTTGCGGTATGCAAGGGATGACAAACAAGCATGGCAACTTGAACATCAATTATTGCGCCGCAATTCTATTGAAAAGTGTTCGTGAAAATCCAGTTTGTGAAATTTCAAAGGCAAGAGAGATTGTGACCGCGCAAATAGGATATGAGATATCCTACATGAAGGCATGGTACACTTTGAAGCGATGCAGAGAAAATGTATATGGAACATGGGAGAGTTCGGTACAGAAGTTGCCAAAATTTATGAAAGCACTGCAACAAAGGAATCCAGGCACAGCTGTTGAGTGGGAACATCACGCGACAAATCATCCATCGAAATTCATAATCAAATACGTCTTCTGGGCCTTCAAGCCGTGTATTGATGGTTTCAAATACTGTCGTCGGGTGATTAGCGTCGATGGAACTCATTTGTACACTAAGTACAAACATAAGATGTTGCTTGCTGTGTGTTTGGATGCGAATCAACAAGTTCTACCACTTGCGTATGCAATTGTTGATGAAGAGACCGCAAGTGCATGGAAGTGGTTTTTCAAATGCATTGACAAACATTTACTTTCGGGCATATCAGATGGTATTTGTATAATTTCGGATCGAGGAACCGGTATTTTAAGTGCCATCGATTCAATGCCCGAGTTTCGGCCCCTCGTATCACCCATCGATTTTGTTTGAGGCATGTTTGTTCAAATGTCAACGCCAAGTTTAAGAGCATTGTGGTGAAAGATTTTTGTTACGCTGCTGGAAAACAATCTCAGGTTTGGAAGCTGAACCGGTATTTGGACAAGATTGGGGAGGAAAATCCCAATGCACTCAGATACTTGATGAACATGGATCGAGAAAAGTGGACTTTAGCACATGATGGAGGGTCTCGACGCGGTCAGTTGACGACCAACTTGTCCGAGTCCATCAATGGTGCTTTGAAAGGTGCTCGTAAACTGCCTGTCACAGCTATTGTAGATTTTACATTTCATCGAGTGGTTAAGCACTTTATTAATCGAGTAGCGAAAGGTAATAAATGGGAGCAATTGGGACAACGATGGGCCGAATTTCCATTGAAGAAGTTCAAATTATGGGAGGAACATTCGACGACACATTACATGAGAAGGTTCAACACTCGCAACTACGCTGGTGAGGTATTCACCAGGGCAAAACCTCAAGGAGGTGGAGGAAAAACACATTGTGTCGATCTTAGGGCCAAAGAATGCTCGTGTAATAAGTGGACCTTGTTTGGGATTCCTTGTTCTCATGTGCAACATGTATGTCGTGATTTTCGTTTGGATGCCGAAACTTTGGTTGCCGAGTACTACAGTGTTAGAAACCATAAGAACACATATAGTGGCGTGTTTCACCCTTTGCTGCCTGAAATGTGCTGGGAGGATGCAGATTTTGAGCTATTTCACGATGTTACCCTACGGAAAGCTACACGACGGGGTAGGCCAGAAAGTTCTCGTATTCGTAACGAAATGGACCGACCACAAGCGCGTGCTAGAAGAAAATCTCGGGCAACACAAGAATCACACTAGTTATTTTATGTGTTATCTTATGTTATGTTAGGTTATGTTATGTTATGTTATGTTATGTTATGTTATGTTATGTTATGTTGTGTTTGTTATGTTATGTTATGTTATGTTATGTTATGTTATGTAATGTTTGACTTGAAAATTCGGTTTCGCTTTCACTTTCAAATG